AAAAAAAAATATATATATATATATATATATATATATATATATTATGTATGTGGTACTCTCCCATTCACTGTTCTTGAAGTTAACCCATGACGACTTCCGCTGCTGAGAAACCCGGAAATGTGAAAAAGATCCATTGTATTAGACATGCGTTTATTTATGCATTCATTCTTTATGACATTATATTTATATATTACATTTATCTATATTTCTTACAATTACTAATACAATTATTCATTAATTTATTAGAAATGATTTCAATTATACATTCATACTTTTTATATGTATAGGATTACCATGGGATTGTGTTTCTGAAGTGAGGTAGAAGGAAAGTGGTTTTGAATCAATGAAGGCCATGAATGTTGGACGGTATATCTTTTTTAATTTATTTATTAAAAGTGCATTTATTTATGCATTCATGTTTTTATTTATTCGAAATGGTATGAAATTTAAATGTCTTATTTTCTGCTTTTTAGAAAATGCTTGCTCTCTCAGAGTAACACCTCTTTTTGTGAAGTGTGTAGCCTGTAATGTGTCAGTTGTTCACAGGTTTTTGTTTAGACAACTGACTTTTACCGTTTATGGCCTCATGGGAACTCAGGAAGGACAGCTTTTTTTTATTATTAGAAGGACTAATAATTTTTAAACGTTTGGATTTGAAATCACAGTTTTGCTCAGTTTTACTTTAACAATTTTAAAATGTAAAATATAGTACATAAAATTATATATACGCTGTGTATGTGTGTGTGTGTATACACACACACACATACATACACACATACATATATATGCTTTTAGATTTGAAGTGAGATCAAACATTGATGGTTGTGTATCCAGTTGTTGTTTTCATCTCTGAGGTGTAAGGTGAGCTCTTCCTCAGGCCTGGGCTTCAGTGTGAGTAGCTCTGAGGAAATGGTTCCCAGACCACAACGTGTCACTTTTTGCTCCTTCTTGCCCGGTGCTGACCTGAAATAATTAGATATAGACTGTTCCCAGACAACACACTAATTTCAGACAAGATCAGAAGAAATGACTTCTGTGAAATAAAGAATGAGTAAATTCCAAATTCTGAATATGATGTCAAAAGTCATCAAATGGGATTCCAAATATACAACTATGACATAATCACGGCCTAGGTTAAAGCATACAGCAAACTTGCACAATTAAAAACCAAACAACAAACAACAACATCAAAAAACACAAAATGTGCACTTAACTCATTAAAAATGTCACTGGTCACTGCTAATTCACTGAAATGTTGATTTAGAGTCTCAGACCTCCCTGCAAATGAGTTCCTTTCTTCCTTTTCAAATCATTCTTAGTTTTTTCCGAAAGCATCAAAGGTTGATTAGCACATCAGTGTGAAGTGTTTTTCTTATCCTGCTCGGTTAAAAGTTGATTTGAGGTAAACAACTAAATTGTCTAAATCCTTTCCTCCCAGTGCTCTGTAAACTGTGTATTGAGCTCCACATGAGCATATCAGTCACAGGGTCAAGGGTATCTAAAGCAGAGTAATTAGCTGAGTATCTAACACCTCGGCACTGTCCTGAAACGCATGCAGCACGCCGACCCCTCTCGCATTTGAGGATAAGCATGCATGAAGTTCAGGCTTTTAAAGGGATCATCCAGCCCAGACTCTGAGGTGCGAGATGCTCTTTTTTGTTGACCTGGAGTTCATTAAGAAAGAGCTTCTATTTGCACAGGCCTGATTAGTACTTGGATGATGGTAAGGCCTTTGTGTCATGGCACAGCTTGAATGGGCTGGGGAATACCATGTTTATGTCTTTTTGAGTTTATAATATTGAATTTAGCTACAGGGAAAATGTAATCAAAAATTTTTTTTTTTTACATAAAAAAAGATAATATCAATATATGAATAAACTGAAAATAAATAATAATAATATATTCTTCTTCTTATGTTCATATTTATTCAATATAATAATATTTTAATTAAAACTTTTTTTAGTCTAATTAGTTGGTCTATCAGAATTTGAACATGTATCTCTGATGTAACCTGTCAGAGTGTATTTAGAATAGTTGCCTGATTTGAGTTTTTCAGTGGTCAAAATCAGGGCAAATATATTAATGCTGTTTACATGTAATTATGTACATGAGACATCAAACATGCTGAAATTGAACAGATATTTATTTTGCATTTTTTTAAAGTAAATTTGTTAAAATGATCAAAATAAATGAAAACAAGGTGAAACCACTTTTGTTGATCAGAATATTAAAGTATTTAAAAAATATTGGCCAATTATTTGGCCTGGCCAGATATAAAGGTCTATACCTATTTTAGTATGACTGGAGAGAAAGATGTTTTAATTATATAATTCATTATAACTTCAATGTTTCATTTAGTCAGTTTAACCATCAGAGGGCCTCAAAGGGGAAAATTTGAAAGATAAAAAAATATATATATATATATAATTATATATGTAATAATGTATTTTTTCCTTAAGTAAAATAACAATAATATAAAATGTTTAAAAAATTGAATGCATGAAATTAATTTTGTGAATGTAAATGTTAAATATCATTCTTTGCTATGTACATACAATACATTTAAGAATACTTGTATCTGTTTTTCTAGCCCTAGTCACCTTTAGCTTCGCCTTTATATTCTAATATTAGTAAATATATATATATATATATATATATATATATTGACAATAAAAAGCTATTTTCCAAATAATGATAATAATGTGTTTTTACTTTAGTATAATGACAAATAAAATTCAATAATATAATTTTTTGATGAACGTG